AGTAGATACGCTAACAAAAAGATTTTTGGTTTCGGTCACAAAAATTTTGATTATGGTTATAAATCCATGTTCAGCTTATCAGAGAGATAATTGCTGCCTCCACTTTCTGTTTTGTATGTATGAAGCAAGTTTTGTGCTAATTAACAGAATAACCAACTCTTTCTCTTCATTTTTATTCGAAATTACTAATAATACCATATAAGAAATATATGTATATGTGTGTGTTTACCTTAATCTCTCTTTAATTGTCATCTACTCCTAACCTAACCACAACTAATATACATTTCTCTGGCAATGAGTTTTGGTTCTTGTATGGAAAAATCTCTCCGCCCTAGTGAGCCGCCGTGAAGTTCATACACATAGGTGGTCTAACCTTAGCTAGAGCCAGCAATGAAGAAGGCAGAATCCAGAGACCATCTCCACATATCAAACCTGATGCGACAGCTGGAACCATCACCTCTGCCTTCTTACGGTTCACCTTCTGCCAAACGAAAACCACGAGGCTCCCAATACACATATCGATTGCAAACGATCCACCAACCAAAAACGGCACAGCCATTGCCATCGGGAGTGGGATCCACTTCCCTGGCCTCCCCGGCAAGAGGTCTCTCGCCAGGTTGGCAGTAACCGCAAACGCAAAGAACCCGTAGCAAAGCTCTAGGCAATGCGCGGGCAGAGCCGAGAGACCTTGAACACCGATAATTGCCATGTTTCTATAGATGATTGCATAAGGAGCCTTGTACTCACCATCCGGGTTTCCAACATCAAATGCCTTGTAGAAGAGGAAAAAGGTGAGCGGCGCAACCACGCAGCCTATCGCTGTCCCGATGGCTTGTGCTACAAGCATCGAGCGTGGCGATGTGAGCGTTAGATGTCCTGTCTTGAAATCGTGCATTAAATCAGCTGAGACAGAGACGATCGATTTTATGAGACCACAAGCGACCATTCCTGCCACCACTCCATCGCTTTCACCAGCCAATGCCGCCATCACAAAGAGCGCCGCTTTACCGTAGTTGTAGGCCATGTTCATGTCGGTTAACCCAGCCCCGTAGGCATTACAGAAGCTGAGAGACGGCGCAAGGAGGTAAGCTACGAGGACGAAGTACCATTTCAGCTGAGGGAACATGAGAGGGATTGCAATGATGGAGATAAGGGAGAAGAATAAGTATCCGGCACAAGCGATCCATAGCGGAATGCTCTCTTTAACGAATACCTCGTTCTCTCGTTTCAGTTTATCGGATTCTTTAGTGCCATCATCTGGAATCTCTGCCACTGAAATCAATCGGTTATATTTTGACATTGAATGGTTTCGCAGATTGACTTGGAATATAACTTACATGTGTTGATGCTGTTGGTTTTGGAGAGTCTAGAGTGGAAGCTTCTTCCAGTGAAAAAGAGTATCTTGAGGAAGTTATAAAGCCCATCTCCTAAGATTAATGCAATGCATATAAACACCTGATAACAACAACACAAAGGGAAACATATCGCTTCCGCAGCTCGCAATTTGTGAAGATATATAAACCATAAGTATGAAAGCAAAACAGACCTTGTAGCCATTTAAGCTCTTCATGCTACTCTCTGGCAATGTAGCAGGAAACCATTCGCCTTTAAGCCGAGCAATCAGAGGCCACATTATTCCCCACGAGAGGATTGCGCCAAAGAGCAATGATAGATTCACCAAATGTGAACAGATCATTCCAGCTCCAACATATGTCATACTAAAATCGAAGAAAAATCTGTACCCCACAAAGAGATAAACATTGCTTCAATCGAAACTTGTTTAAACTTTAACCTAATAAAACAGAGCGATACTCACGATTTTCTCCAAGCATGTAATCCAAATGTAGGAAACTGAGAGAAGCCGCATCCGTCACCACCTGAATAGAACCATCCAAAGAATGCCCAAAAGAAACTCAATGCAAACGATTTTATAAACCCCCGAATCTGTTTCCTGTCGAAAACCAAAAAAAAAGACATCGATATAGTATCCAATTCAATCTAAGTGAGGAACAAGATTCAAGAGCATATAACATACTTTGCAGTCTTATCTCCTTTGCCAGTATGAAATCCATTTATAAGAACAGCAGTTGCTGTGCCACTAGGATACGTGAGCTTGTAGTCTATAATCATCACCTGTTTTACATCATAAATCACTCGTTGAACCAAATTTTACTCTGCATTTCTATCATAACTCTTAAAAAAATCATTACCTTTCGAAGAGGTACCAAAACAACAAGTCCAATGAAGCTAACTACAAAGAGGAATGATGTCATCCATCCAACACCAGGCTCTTTAATACCACGAGGATTGTTTCCATGTGTGTTCACTCCCGTAAGCTCGTAAGTTCTTCGATTTAAACCCAACAAGTAAGACGCAAATCCACCTGCGATGAACGAAACTTTCGTCGATCAAAATCGATATTGGTTGTATTATTTATCTTTTTGGTTTTGGTTTGGATTATACCTGCAAGGGAGATGCTGTAACAAGCAACAGCACAAGTCTGAGCAATGGTGTTTTCTTGACGTGTGAAAGGAGTAGTGACGATTCCTGCTTTTTGTAGAACTTTGGTCCAAGATTTGAGGAAGACGAAAGCGAGGAGAGCTGATGAGATGTTGAGATTAGGGACGAGTCCTGTCGTTAGATTCAGTTTCAGACAGATCACACTGTAAACAACGCCGATCAATAAGCTCGCCACGATGGCCCGAACCGTGATCTGTTTCCTCCATGGTGATGCTTTTCTCGAGTCTGTTGTAGATTCGTCCTCGTGGAATTGACTGTGTTCCATTGAGAAACGAATCGAATTCGATTTCTTCCTCTACGGATCGGTTTGGTTGCTTCCAACACACGGTAAGCAGATTTCCAGATTCGTAGAGGAGCGTTTTAATCTGGAGATTCTCCGAATCTGGTTTTCGCAAGATCGAAGAGGCAGAGAGAAATGCATAATAGTGAAGGTTTGATTGATGGAAACAAATTTATAGAAGAAAGGAAAATGAATGA